CCCCAGCCCTTCCGCAGAATCTGGGGGAGGAAACGGGGTGGCTCCTCTCCCCGCCTCCCTTCAACTTTTTTTTTTTTTTTCCCTCTTGTGGGGACGGGAGGGTGAGGCCGATCTGCAAACTCCGCGGCTGCCCCAGCCTTCCTCGGAAAGTATCGTCACGCGCGGGCCCGCCGCCCCCTTCAGCCCCCGCTATTTAAGTCCTTCGCCCCTGGCGGCCCGACTCGCGGCCGAGAGCCCGCGGGCCCTGGTGCCTCGCTGGCGGCTCGCGCACCCTGCAGTCGGGCTGCTTTCTGCCTTGGTAGCTCAGCTCCCTCGTCCTGGTACTTTCTCCCTAGTCCCAGGAGGCGTAAGATAAAACCTTTGATTCGCTGCGTGCTGCTGGGCACATCCTCTCTTCAGAAGGCATTCGCTGGAGAGTTTAAAACAACTGTATCGAAAGGAGGAAATAAGAGAGGAATTAGTGCTTTTGCAGGTTTTTAAGACTACGTGCTTCAAATTCTATTTTTCCGCAACAAGGGAGAGTGTAGTTACGGTTAATAAAGGTTATGTCGGATTGGTTGTATTTCCTTCTAGATTTGGATTTCTGGAGGAGGGAATCTTTTTCCGGAGGAAATCTTTTTTTCCGGAAGGAAACAGCAACTCAGCATTTCACTGGCAATGAGACTTGGAGGACACTCTGGAAACCAAGGGAGAGATAGTAGAAATACGTTTAGAAAATACGAGGAAGGAGGCCACAGCTAAAGCTGGGGTCACCAAAGGAAGCACCTCATGTGGCATGGGGGAAGGGCCGGCATAGGGAGGTGGCCGGGGTCGGGAGGCCAGAGCCGGAAAACCCGGGGACTGAGTCGAAGGAAGCCGGAGCCGCCGGGCTCCAGGGTGTTTCCATTGTTCGGCCCCAGCGCCAAAGCCCTGAGACGCGTTTTTCCCGGGGGAGGGGACCTGCGACTTGTCCCCTGCAGCCTGCGGCCCGCGGAAGCCCACGAGGCTCGCCCCCTCTCGCCCGGCCGGTTTTATGACCCTCTGGCCTGCAAGGGGCTTTCCCAGCCGTAGACCTCATAGAAAGGCGCTTTCACAACGTGCAGCTAAAGGAAAAGACTTTAGGCCAGCCTGCAGCTCACATGTTACAAGGGAAAGCTGCATAGCTGTTTATAAAGTCATCACTAGATAAGCGACAAATGTGGCCAATCTCCCCCCGAATGTGAAAGTAAAGCAGATTATATAATATTTAAAATATCTTTAAATGTGTGGGTTCGAAAATGGATGTTAGCGTTCAAAGAGTTCAGAAAAGCACTTTATTTATTTTTGTCCTCATTTGTTACTACTCAGCTCTTTGTTGTATACAAGTAGTCTGGTTTTACAAGGAAGAGCACTAACAAAAAGGGGCTTGGTTCGTTAAGGTGAAATGCGTTTCCAAAATAACAGGGAATTTCAAAAGGGAAAAACGTCCATTATGACTTTAAACCACGTTTTGGAAACAAAATAAATTGCAACCCATCCTAAGAAACTGTTTTCCTTTGTGAGTCATGTGGGAAAAATATTTTTGGCAAACGTCAGTTTTTAAAAAATGATTTCCAACAAGTGATCCTGGTCTTGTAGACAAGACCAGAGTCCTCCTGCGTGAGGATTCGTGAAGAAATAATTTAAGTCCTGTGACCAAAAGCTTATTAGGAAGAAGAGTAATTTGGATTTAGGAATTATAAGACTTTGGAAATTCCTTCTAAAATACTCATTACGAGTCTGTGTATTATGCAGCACTGTTTCCCAAGGTGGATTTTAAAAAACCAATTAGAATTGATCTCTAATGGAATATTATATTTACACGTCATCATGAAAACATCATTTGGCAAGAGTTTTGAATTAGAAAATGAAGTTAACAGATGATGTCGTAAATAGCATGTTTGAAAAGACCCTTTAAGAGTCAGTTAAAGGTGGTGAAGGTTGTGATTTTGCATTTGAAATGCTATAGTAGTTTGCATTTGAACACTTTCATTTTGCAGGTCTTCTTTCTAAAGCTGCATTTCCTCCTGGAAATCATTCACTTATTTCGAGGCAAAGGGAAAATTTTTATGTGAGAATTCATTTAAAGCATAACTATGGGAAGGCTGGAATAGGAGAAAATCGAAATTGAAAATTAAGTATTTTCAATCTGTTCATTCTGTTTCACACTCATCCCCTGCTCAATTTACATTTTTTATTTATAAGCCTTTGAATATTTAGAATAGCTTTGCAAGTTTATGTTATGTAGTTGATAGCAGAAGATGAATTTTCTTTTCATCTTTTACTATCTCAGATGTTTTTTTTTGGTTTGTTTCATTCAAAGTAAAAGAAAAAAAATTAAAAGTCAGGATGTTCTTGTGAGAAAAACAACAAATGGGAAGAAAAAAAAAGTACGAGTGGGGGTGGGGACGGAGAGGGAGTAGCATTCCTGGTCAGCCTTTGTGAAACCTTTCTTTAATATTATGTCATTATATTTGTCCCCTCTGCTTGTGCCAAAGATGATTGCTTTTTTAATTGGGCTAAAGTGCCACCATATAAAAATTACCTACATTCTGGCTCTCAATTCCACAGTAAAGTAAGACTGACAAAAAGATCTGAGGCTTGTGTGTTTAATTCGCCAGGAATGTTAAGCTTCATAAGATTCACCCTATGGGGTCATGTTGGTCCTTGGCACTGTTACTGTACAATGGCAAATATACACATTATAGATTTAAAAAATCTTAGATGGCTCAGCAAACAGTTTATTAATTGAAGGAATAAAAATGAATTTGTCAAACGCATTCTTTCTGGGACACAATGCACTTAATTAACATATTCGTGGGCTTGTTTCTGGATTTGGGAAGCAGTGGCCCCTTTCACAGAGGAAAACATTTAAATCTTAAAAAGTGACCTTCTTTAGTCCAAATACTATTTAGCAATTCAGCTTAATTTGTTCTTTTCTTTCTCTTTTCTCAGTTCCAGATATGTTTCATTTCTTTTAAGAACTCTTCCATTTTCAAGACTGATTTTCCTCTTTGCATGTTGAGAATCTTTCACTTACCATAATCTTATTGTGTCCTATCAACAGACAGCAGAATATGTCACTTTAATTACACTTTAATTATAACAGAGATGGAAATCTTCAATGTCAGTAAAAAATGGAAAATGGGTCCTACATTATATTGATGACACCCTGAAAAGTCAGTGTTGAATGTTGTTGCTAACAGGAAAAAGCACTGCTCTGGAGGGTTAGGGTTTTGTAACACCCACAAGTTTTAAAGGCTTTCTAGAGATACTGATTTTATATTGGAAATTATGGGGTGTTTTATCCCCTAAAATGTAAAAATGTAAATGTATTACTTTTTTAGTAGTACTAATTTTATAGCAAAAGAAATAGCTCTGAAGCCAAACGCAAGGTTAAGTAAAGCAAACTCTTTGAGAAAATACTCGATCTTGGTCTTTAGAAATATTTTAAATTTAGATGACACAGATTTAAATTTGGGAATCACCTCATTTTCTGAAAGGTAAATGCATCTACACATGATATTAATTATAAATAATTGATCCTAAGAGACTTCCGAAACTGCAGTTGTGACTTTTATGTGAAAAGTCACAATGTAGACAATTCTAAATAAGCTGGTTAATACAAACTAACAGACTCAGAAAGAGAAATAGTGCATGCTTTCCTCATATTCTGAATCTAGATTAAGAAACACAAAAGACAGGAAAACAGAAGGGGACTGTTTGGAAAGGGGAAGATGACCAGTGGGAGGGGGGAGGGGGCAGAGGGGACTAGAGAAGGTAAAGGGGGAGTAAATATGATGAAAGCAAGTACATGCTATACATGAATGAATATACCATCATGAAATCCATTATACTATAACAAAAATTAAAAATCCTCTTCTTTCTTGTCTAGTATATTAATTTTAACTATTGAAAAATTTTGAAGATTTGACTGATTAGAAAAATTTTGTTAGAAATTTTAGGTTGTGTAGGCAAAATAAAGACTAGCTTTATTCTGAAGAACAAATTTCAGAGTACACTCATCTTTTTCAACACCAATGTTATATATTAAGCACATGTTTCTATAGGCTTACTACTTCCAGGGTACTTGCTAGGCACTTGGTAAGCACTGTGGTAAGATAAAAAATCATCAAGGAAGACTAACATGGCTCATTAAATGGAATCTTCCAAAAGCCATTAACAGATTTTCAACTGAAAACATAATTGAAAAGAATCCTCTTTCATGAATTTTGAATATATAATACATATGGGAGACATGTAGGGTTTATATCTATAAAGACTTAAGAGCCATTCATTGTAACTAACAAACCAGTTTCAAAATATTTATTAAAGTAATATAAATAGTATAAATATATGTAGCTTATGATACTATACACTGTAAAGGTAACCTTAGGTTACAACTTTTTACACAAATTCTATCTGAAAGTGTATGTGAATCATAAGAAATAGGATATTTTTTTTAAAAAAGGTTTCCAGGTAATTTATTTGGAAACAAGGTTATAGTTTTCAATAAAGTTTTATAATAAATGAGTTCCAATTGTTTTGTTTAGAAAATAAGTGTAAGGGTAATATAGCATGTAAAACGATTCTTCAAAGTCAAGAAGCTAGTTAAGGAAAGTATATAGTGTTATCTATTATAGAAATATTCACAACTACAGAGAAATATACCTTAGTTTCTATGTGTCATTATAGAAAAGAATCTTAAGCTAGAACCATGTGTAAAAACAGAAGATAAAACTGTAGTTTAAAAAGGAGATAAATATGAACATGTATAATCTATGAACCAAACACAATTTTAAATATTCCTTTCATAGAATCTTCTTAGGTAACTGATTATGGAAAAGCAAATTTGAAAAGTTGGTGTCTAGGTTAGGGACTAAAGAAAATTATAAGAAGATATATTGCCCATGGAGTGAAAATACATTTTCCCATTATAGTAGGGTTAGAGGTTACATCATAAAATACTTTATTTGAGTTTTTTGTGGTTTGCCTCAGTTGATTAGTTTAGAGAAAATAGATGAGCCAGTACCATGTTAGACACTATTATGTGAAGAATATTTGAGACAATAGGCTTTTCGTTCCTTCCTACAGGTACAAGATATACATGCGTATTTGTGGAATATGCAAATTGGATTTAAATGGTAACATTAATATTGAAGTTCTTTTCTAGAAAGATATTCTATCAATCACATGGTAATATAATTTTGTATCAGTAATTTTTAAAAATGTACTTGTACTTACAAGTTTTACCCATTCTGAAACCTGAGGATTAGTATATTTAGCTTAGTGTTTTTGTTATATGTGTATATGCAGCATGTGACTTATACATGTCTCATAAAGGACAAATAGTTTTCTTATTGCTATTTTTCTCTATATACAAGAGTTCCTGGTACACACGGAATGTTCAGTAAATATTTACTGAGTGAATAATTCACTGCATATTTGAGCATATTCTGTCTGTTCTTCCTTTGTACTTGCTATATTATAGAAAAAAGACCAAATATTGTACTTTAGACACAAAACAATAAGTTCAGTATCTTGTACATGAGTTAAAACGAAATGTCCTATGTATTCCCAGTATTTTTCCTTATATTTATGACTCTCCATTATAGAATGTTAAAAACTAATTTTAAATAATTTGAATTCTAGGATTTCAACATGTATTCATTTACATATCTTTCACAAAATTTCAGCTTCAAATACTGTTATTTATATAAAAACATGTTATAAATTGTGCATTTTTCCTATTTTTCCCCCCACACATTATCCACTTCCCCTTTTTCTCTTTTTTTGGGAAAATTTCAAAATTTCATATAAATGACCATTTTTTTTTGGTCTTGAAAAGAACAAGTATTTACCTATATTTACTAGTGTTACAGAATGAGGTAAGGTACTTATCCTTCTTTACATACAACTTAATTCCATCACAAGGACTAAGCTCCAATGCTTTAAAAATAAAATGAATGTATTTTCAAATAATTTATAGCATTAAGGCTTGACTGCAGTGTTTGGGAAGTTCCACATTGATTTGAACTCAAAATTGCTCCACATTAGGAAGCAGAGCAGGAATTAGACATTGAAGTGATCTCCTTTGTATAGGGGTAAAGATAAAATATTCTGTACAGTTAAGATAAACAGTATACTGTTTGAAGGTTGCTTTAGATTTAATACTTCAAGGTTAAGAGCATCATTAGAGGTCCCGAAATTTATTACTATCATATCTTCTTAAAAATGTCATTTTACTAATCTGTAGTCACCATTTCTAAATGTATTAAGATTAAAAAAGAATCTTCAATTTTGTATTTCTTTACATTTTCTCCCTATCACAAGCTTTGGTAGATGCCCCATTAATGTAGATATCTCTCATAGTTTTTGAAACATTCGAAATGTATTTGCCAACAGATGCTTCCATTGTGTTGTATCTATTACTATTCTTAGACTTTTAGCAATTATTTTGAAATAGAAAAAGAATAGCCACATTACCTTTTTTTGAACATCTTTAAACTTAAATTATATTATCTGGGGAGTGCCAAGAACTTGGGGTCTTCTAGCACTGAGTAAGTACATTTTCCAGACTATATTATATTGTTATTTCCTAGTAAGCCCCTTTGTACCTCCAAGTAATTGACCAAGTCATTTAAACAATCTACCCATAATTCCCATTTCATGCTAAACTTTCTTGACTGAACACTTTTTAATATCAGTATTGGGTATAGAGAAGTGAAGAGGGAGACAGCAGTTTTTTTTTTTTTTTGTTTTGTTTTTTGCTAAAAACCACTCAGTATCCAGCTAATTAATCTGCTCACATTGGTCTAATCTATTCTCTAGTTGTGCATGAGACAGCTTCCATTATTTCTCCCACTTAAATGACATCACATTTACAAAGGTAAATTTGGAGAAACGAGCTAGATCAGAGGAATCCTCAATCAAAACTGGGCACCACACTGGTGTGTTATCCTTTGGTGGCAGGCTAGAAGGTGGGTTCCTTCGTCCTATAGCTGCATTTTCTAGATCACTCCATTAGGTTGCTAATGCCTCCTATCATTTGTATACCTACCAAGCACTAATGTAGTCTTTGGACTTCCGCTCAGAGTATAACCCAAACACCAGCTTTTGACCTGTCTGGTGCACTTTCATTTGTCACGGGGGCCAAGGTGGTGCGTAAGTGGGCGGTAGATATGGTAACACTTCCACTGGGTGAACTTTGGGAAGAATCCAGGACGTGAATTTAATGGGAGGTGAAGCGGCGACAGCACTGGGAAGTTAGAGCGGCCAACTGCAGGAAGCCATGCTTCATTACACCCTTCATGGAAGCTGGCACCCTCTCCCAACCATTGTTACCCGCGGGCCAGTTCTCGAGGCACAGGCCTTCAGGTAGGTTCCCA